ACTTTTTAATTGGTAAAATTATTATTTAATGAAAATAAAATAATTGAAAAGTCTATATACATATATATATATGTGTGAATGTAAATTAAAAGAGATCTATAATTTACAAGCTTATGAAAAGCTTTTCACTATCCATTGAAACTATTTGTTATCGGGTACATATTTTACATTTTCTTTTTAAGTGAACAAGTTCCCATGTGTTATTTTTGTTTCGTGTCATATGTGTAACAAATAGCATCATCATCTTTTTTTTTTATTCTTCTTCAGTTTTACTTGCATGTATAAGTATATAGATGTAATTGTGTGTATATACATATATATTAAAGAAACTTAACGATCGTCGTCGTTCGATGAAAAAAAAATAATTTGATATCTTTCAAACTAATATTGCTGGTGCCCTTGCTTGCCAAATGTCATTGTCGGCTGTGACAACAAAAACTGAGAGATACATATATACTTTGTAGGTTGAAATATATGTCAAAGTATATATCAACAATTATATGAGAAGATGGATATAAGAATAGTAAAACATATATGAAGGCCAAATACGTGATTGTTAGAATATAGAAAAATGATATATGATCTTATTAGAATCCATTTTCATCATCTCAAAGTTTTCTTAGTGTTTGACTGATCTAATTCATATGATATCATTAAATATAATAGTCAAGTCGGTCGGTTGTGTCCTTAGAAATAATTAAGATAATATCTATATATTTTATAATATCTCATGAGAATTATCCTAAGCAAAAAAGCGTGTTTAAGTATTATAAAAAAAGTCAAGATCGTAATGATTCGTTAAGACATAATCAACTGTGTGGGTTTAATAGAAAAATAAATAAACTTCTTTCATTAATTATGATAGAAATAGAACTAGAAAAAATTAAATACAAATGCACTCAAAAAGTCTAAAGAATATTTTTCCAAGAAAAACAAGAGCATTTATTTGTAAATATTTAATCTAAAAAATTTTTTAGTTAATTGATATCCAGCTCGTATACGAAAAGACATAGTATAGAAGGTCATAGGTAGTAGTTCTTGGATTTATCTCCCCTTGAATTTTATATATGCATACATAGGATTAATATTTCTCTTTCCATCAACCTTGAACAAGAGGAGGCATTCATAAACATTTGTATATATATATCAATTATCAAATTAATTTCATATGAGCTTATAAAAAAATGTTTTATGACCTTGTTTAATGATTATACTTTAGTTTTACCATCAATTCGAGCTCAATCAACATTAACTTATGGTATAATTGGAACATCAACACATTTACGTTGCTCAGCTACAGCACCATTTGATACATCATTATATTGGCGTCGTATAGATAATAATAATATATCAAGTCAATCACCAAGATTTCGTCAACAACAACATATTCACGGTGAACTTTTACATACAACATTATATATCAAAGATCTTGAAAAAGCAGATTTTGGTTTATATGCTTGTCATGCGGAATCAAAAGGTGGTCGAAGTAAAGCTACTATTGAATTGAAAGGTAAGAATATAAATTAAATTTCAATCATTCTCTTTATATTTTACTAAAGAACATCATCATTCAACAACACCGACAACAACCACCACAATCCATACTTCTACTATATATCAAATATTAGATAAGAATGAAATCATATTAACTACAACTTCACGTACACAATTACTTAAACGAAATAAAAGTAAAATAAAGTTTTTTGCGCAAATATAGAACTTCGTTTTTTTGTTTAGTTTCAGATCAAGCAACAATTGTTATAAAAACTAATCATGCATCATCATCATTATCATTTCTTTCTTTTTATCTTTTAATTTTAATAATTTCTTTTCTTTATTTGTAATAAAAATAAACATTTTCTATAGTCTAACGTAGAATAAATATATAAATGTTTTTTATGTTGTTTCTAATTATTGTTTGTTTGAATAAATAAGAGAAATCAAACTTGAAAAGTTTAATTAAATTCTTTGTACAAATGACTGAAAAACAACTCGATCTTCTAACAAATTTTTTTCAACAAACACATTTAGGTAAAATGAGTTTAATTACATTAATACAAAATTTACCGAATAATAAACAACCTTATATACCTGAAATAACTTATGATGAAAATGGACGATATTTAAAATTAAAACAAGATGATAGTATAAGAAAAATGTTTACAGAAAAATCAATTCAACGAATTGAACAAGATACGAATTCTATTGATGATATCATTCAACAACGAACTAGTTCAGGTTAATACAATAATTTATTTCTATAAATAGATAATAGTTAGTCTTACAGTCAGATCAATTCACATTTTTTTCACATCAAACGGTATGCTTTCCATAATGAGATGACAGTCCAAGGTCTAGACAATTATGGAGTTTAGATTTTTCTAAAAACAAGATCAATAAGAATCTTTTATAAACAAAATGAACGGAACGAGATTTATGAGGTGATCCCGTGCGTAAAATAAATTATACGTAATTAAAGACTAAAGAAAATTTTCCATGAAAAAAAAACTATTCTTTTAGATATGAAATTGCTCGTTTACATAAAGCTCATATTTTTACAATTCATATGTAATTAACAATTTTGTCTCCATAGTAAACTATTTTTGTATATTTTTCCATAAATTATATAACAATCACTTTAGAACTTGTATATAGATTTTAAGATTACCTAATTTAGTTTTACCATCGTCATCAATCGAAGAACGATACGATTCTATTGCTAAGGAATTCAATCTATCTTTATCTACTATTGAAAAACAATATGAATTAGCTTTAAAGAATCGTATTGAAATACCACCGATTTTAATGCGTCGTATTATAATTGATGCTATTGGAATTCTTCATATAATGATGAATGAACTCAATGATGATACCGGAAAAAATCATGAAAAATCCAAACGAATATCTAAACGTCTCAAGGAACTAGAAGCTTATAATAAATTATTCGATCATCATTGTTAATAATAATAACAGATGATTCTAACTGGTATTGTTCTCATTAAAAACCTGCTTCCTTCCTCTGCTCCCTCGCATGAATTTAAATTTTCATATTACGGATGTAATTTGAGGGCGAAACTAGGATTTCCAGTATTCAAAATAGATACTAATAAACAAACTAAGATGAAAGAAAAGATATAAATATACATAAATGTATATATAGGTTAATTGTTGAAAGAAATCCACCGGAATGTACTTTTCTTTACAAGTAGACATAATGAACCTAGCGAGCTTTTATACAGAAGTTTAATTAAAATTTTGAAGTCTAATCAAAATAAATATTACCGATAACGAAAAAGTTCTATTATTAAAATATTTATAAGCTATTGATTTCTATAAATATTATATTTATCTTATATCAAATTGAAAAGAACCTGGACAAAAATACTTCACCTGTAATCATAATCTCTATCATGGTTGAAGTATTTTTCTAAGATCAAGTGGAATAATTATGTCTAAGATTCTAGAGTTTAATGAATCGGCTACGTCATGCGAGATATTTCTATGAATAACTTATAATAAGTAATTTTTCTGAGAAATAATAATATATTAGTTATTTCTTACTTGACGTCATCTTAGATTTATCTAAGAAAGAAAAAAGATACTCGATATGTAATTAAAACTATTTATAGTAATTAAGATTAACCCATTTTTATTGTTTAGATGTATATTTAAAAAAAGTTTTTAACTGATTTATTGGAAATATTGTTATACGTATTGAAGAATATTTTGAATTTCAATATAGCTTAATTATTTATCCAGTTTTATCATATATAAAGATTAATCAATATTTATAGAAGAGGCAGGTGGATAATGAATAACGCCTACCATCTGACAGAAATCTATAACGATCTATTTTCTATTATTTAAACAAATCCCAAGGGTTTTTCTACGTTCATATTGATATATAGAACATAAACGAAGTTATTCTCGGCGCCAAATGATTACGTCAAGAAAACTATCAATATATTTTGATATGTACGCATATTTAATTTAAGAAAAAAAAACAATAATTACTAGATCATTGACGTAAAACGTCTCTCTAAGGAAAATATATATCGAATAACTACATGAATAGGATTTTCAATTACGTTCTGTTCAATAAATATGAAGTTTTAAGATTTTTGTTCAAAAAACTACTCAAAACTATTCATATTTTCAAATAAATATATCAGAAATCTTTGTAAATAACGATCATTTATTGTCGAAAATTTTCTGTCAATCCATATATCATAAAAATAGATTGCAATATTAATATAACTTTAAAAAAACAGACTAAATCAATCAATCAATATATCACAATAATTCATAATCTATGAAATAATAAATTAGTTCATATTAAAAATAATTCGAAGCATTTATTTTTTGTTATGAATAAATTGTTATAAAAAGAATTCATTTCGAGTATGCAATCACCTTATAATTGTTAGAACAAATTCAAAACATTCTTGAATCTTATTTGAATGGTTACTGAGAATTTTCACATTTTATTAGGAATTAGTAGATTCTGATGTATTTATTCATTCTATTAGCAATCAACTATCTTTTGAAATTCAATATGAGAATCAAATTTCTATTGTATGTTACTGTCCAATTCGTATCTGTAAAATTTCGTCTGCAATTAGTTTAGCACGATATTATATTGTAGTAGTTTTTATATTTCTGTTACGAAAATCTCATTGAGAATAATAAATAATCTGTATTGTAAAAAAATATGTTTTCATTTTCTTCATATAAGATGCTATAATTAAAATTGTTTTATTTTTCGATCACAGAATCTTATATGACGCTGATTGCTAGTGCAAAGATTAAATATAAACATTACTTGTATTTATCTTATATTATTAACAATTAACTATTTCGATATTCAAGTATTTCGAAGAAAATTAGGTTCTTAATATTATTAAACTTCAATATAGCTAAATATCTTTGTTCAATATTTTCAAATAAAATACAAAAATGATCGAATAAAATTCTTTAATTATATACATATGCTACAAATGACAATTTTTTTCAGATCTGATTATTTATACATCATTACTAAAAGTTGACATCTCATTATACTATTTAAAATATAGATTCCTTAAAAATCATGAAAATTTTTCTCGCCTACATGTCACAAAATTTCCTATTAAAATATAAATATAAAAAACATTTCAGTTTAATGTATTTGTGCACTCAAAAAAGCTAAATAATTTATTAGCTGAAAGGCAACTATTATCGGAATTTTAAGAAAAGGTAGCTAGATAAAATGTACATAACTTTTCAAAACAAAATAGTTACAGTTCTATGACTTTTCATACCCGAGAGAAGGGACCGAGGGAAGGTTACCAATATCTTTTCTTGAATAGTAAAGGTCACACAACTCTAGCTATCATAATTAAAAAGTTACAAGCAATATTCTCCACCACCTTTTTTAAAATTCTGATAGTAGTACTTTTTATAATCACAATGGAACAATGTTTTGAATTATTTATAATTTTTTAAATGATAATACCCGCACACGACTGAACCGTAAATGATTTTTTGTAACAAATCACATCTACCGTCTATTAAATGAAGATATAATCATTCTTCATGAATGTATATTATTGAACTCACAGTATATAAATATAGGTCAATAGTTCGACTCAGAATCATCTTCAAAAATATTTTCTATCAATTTCCTTTTAAATAGTATAACATAAGACATTTTGTCACTCCTATTTTATTAAATAAATGCATTAAAAAGCAAATCATAATTGATATAGTAGATGTCAAGTTTATACAAGCATAATAATGATTTTATTTGTTATTTTCTTCGAACAAAAACTACAAGCGCATTTAAAGATTTGATCAATATCTGTTATATTGCAGTATCATGTTGTGGCACATTAAATAAAATATTTACTGAAACTACACATCAGTGTTGCCAGATCTCCCAGTTTTTTCAGAAAAATTCCGGATTTTAGATGATTTTTATTAAATTAAATTGTATTTATTTATTAATATTCAAAAAAGATTTTTTTTATTTGACAGCGGCTCAGTAGCTTATACTTCTTATACATTTAGTTTATTATATTTTGAATTATGATGTTGATTTTCTTTTGGCATATGGAAACATGTGTTTTTTGAAATAATAAATGATGTAATTGAGCACAAGGTTTAGAGAAATTTATTTTAGTCGGTAAAAACTAACTGTTAAAAACCTTTCCGGATTTAACAAAAAAAGCTTCCGGAATTTTCCAGATTCGGATATTGAAATTCCGGTTTTCTGACTGTGACATCTGGCAACACTGCTATACATATGAGTTTTATTCTACAATTAAAAGAATCTAATAAAGGTAATTCTTTCTCATTGAAATAAATAGAAACATGTTGTTCAAATGATATTTATATGTCCGAATAGATTATTTTAATCATATAAAAATAAGTATAATTATCTTATATGTAGTCATCATTTAAACATAAACATCATAATCATATCCATGAATGTTGTTAAATTCATTCTACAACTAATTATAAATAAATACTTAATTTTGTTTAATACTACTTATGTATTAATAATGTATGAAAAATAATAATAATCTTGAGTAAACGATTGATAATGATCGAAAATTTTCAACATAAAACTTATTTTTCATTTAGATTATTTTAATTTAGCATTGAAGACAATTCAAATGTATTGATAACTAATAAAAATTGCTAGTATATAAAACTGAAATACATATATTCTTTCAATATTGATGATTATAGAAACTTTAAAAATTAGATTTAAGTTATTTGAACATTCTCTATAGATCTAATCCGAATGATTTGTGTAAATATTTATTTTATTATATTCTACTGTTTATTTTTTATATCGTTTAAACATTGAAAAGAACAAAAAAATACGAATTATATATGTATGTTATTGTTATATGTAGTATTACATTTATTATGCTTCAGTAGTTGGCACACCTAAATATGACAAATATATAAGATATAAAATCGAAATAAATAAACTTACGATGACTACGATTTTTAAGAATTACAAAGACTAGAATCATAAAAAATGTTACAATGCCAACAAAGGTTAATGATCCTAGCCCGACACTTAATAATGTCCATGAATTTGAAAAACCTAAATAGAACAAGAAACAGATATACCCCAGAGATTATGTACGAATTAAATTTATTTTTAGACTATTCATTAATCTATGAACTCCATAAAGAGTTTCATGCTATATTTATATGTATGCTTTGTTGTTTGACATGTATTACACTTGTTCTATTAAATTGAAAATACTTTATTTCGATTTTATATAACCTATACAAGTTCATTATTTTTCAAGGTTGCCCTCAGTCGTACATAATATTATTTAATGTTCATTTCATTGTCGTTACATACCTAATGTTTCATCGGATAATTTTGAATTTGCCATTTTATGTGGTATCGTACTGTTGATCAACAGTGAATATGATTTTGCCTTATTCTACGAGAAAAATAGTAAAATAAACCAATATATGCTACATTATTTTCTATTTCTTTCTCTCGCTTTTCTATTGACTAGTCTTCTTCGTCTCAGATAGTGCCAATAGCATAAATGCTATTTCCGTTTAGACGGTTGCCAGTATTGCAAAAAAGATTCCTTTTTTCTTCTTCTAGTTTGCGTTCTTATGAATCTTATGTTGTATGTATGCAACAGAACAAGAAAAGGCCACAAGAAAAAAAAGAACACTACAAAAAGAAGTTGTTCTTGTTGTTTGACTCTTCTCCAAGAGTCCTTGATACGATCTTCCACAACGATAATTAAAACAAAATCTTTAATAAATATTTCTATTATCATTATACTGTGAAGGATTTGGGAATAACGTCCTTGAACGAAATAAGAAATGGCATGAAGAGATAAAAGGAAATTTTAAGTAATTCTGACATATAATAGCATTAAAAACGATATGTACGCATTGTGATGACAATTAAAAGATAACTTCCAGTTCCGTAAATTCCACATATGAGCAAGCGTAGATATAATTAATTGAAATAGAAAGTATTCATACAAACTTAATATTCGATGTAAAAATGTCAACAAAAGATATTTAAATACGAAGTCTCGTTGATAGTCATTTTATTATTTCCACAAGAGAAAATACTTGCATGTTAGTAATGTGAAAAGAAACAGGAAACAGAAGATTAGTTAGTAAACATTTGATTAATTATGTTCATTATGACTGAATTACTTCTGTTCACATTTTTACTAGCCGTTTTTTGTATATAAACATAGCTTTCTCCTTTTGAAATTGATTATTAATTTGCAACTATTTAAGTCGAAAAATGGTATTTTTGAATATCAGGGATAATAAAGATGAAAATATTGAAAGCAAAATAGTTTAATTGTTTCTTATTTTCTGTTCATTTATGTACAAATCATTGAATGTAATACAGCAATCGATAAAACATATATCAGTTGTTGTAATAGAATGACATCTATGAATATAATTTATTTCTTATTGGTATTTGAAATAGAAGAAAATAAATTGTGGACTACGATCAAGCTGTCACCACGTCAGTTATTTCGTTTATTAATCTATTTCTTTATTTCGAGTAGTAAATGAATAAAAGTCATGCCTATTTTAAAGTAATATTTAATTCGACTATTACTTGCTCATTGAGAAAAAACTTATCATCATTATCCATTCGTTTATTTTTACCATTGAGAATAATTAGCTTCAACAAGTCAGAGATAAAAGAAACTAAACATTTATTTTGATTCGAACTATGACTTGAATAACAATTAGTTAAGTCTTATATTTTCATAAATAATAGATCAATATCGTACGATCAAATTTTGAAACAGTTAAATTAACTTGCCTATCTTATTACCATGTCGTGTTCGAGATGTATTCAAAACTAAAACGAGATAGTTTAAATACTTCCATTCTTTCTGAATCACATTCTTAGTTTTGTAATAATTGCTTTTAATAACGTCATATAGAACTATAAAATCCTTTCCTTTTTTTTCAGCTTAAGTCAATACTATAATATTTTTATCTATAGTCAAGTATTTTAAATGTAATAGAATTAATTGAGAAATGCTTATTTATCTATTTTTCTTTTAGATTCATTTTTTCTTTAAAAACTTACATTAATCATGGCAATGGCATCAATGTCCAGTTCACCTGATCATGCACCACCATCGTTGTATAATACACGAAGTACTTGTACGTAAATTATTCGATATTTCCTGATTTTTGTCTAAAAGTAAAATCTTTAATTTTTAGCTGTAAAACGATTAATGCGTGAAGCTATGGAAATGAAAGATCCAACTGAACTTTATTATTGTCAACCAATTGAAGTGATTATTTACTTTTATTATTAAATAAATTTTCTTTATTCTTTTTTTAATAATAAAATAGGATAATTTATTCGAATGGCATTTTACAATTCGTGGTCCTATATCTACCGAATTTGAACAAGGTATTTATCATGGTCGAATTTTATTTCCGGTTGAATATCCAATGAAACCACCATCGATTATATTACTTACAGTAAGTTTATTGGTTTTTTAGTTTTTGCATTATATTAATAACGAATTTTTCTAATTTAGGAAAGTGGTCGTTTTAGAATAAATGAAAAAATTTGTTTATCAATATCTGGTCATCATGCTGAAACATGGACACCGACATGGGGTGTAAGAACAGCTTTATTAGCTATTATTGGTTTTATGGAAACACCTGGTGAAGGTGCTTTAGGTTCACTTGATTATACACCAGAAGAACGTAAAAAACTTGCTAAAAGGTTAGAAAATATTTAATTATATTGAGAGTTGTATGCTATTTGATGTAAGAGATTCATAATCGATATTATCAATTTAAAGTCTATCGATGATCTGTAAAAATTAATATCTTGTATTTTTTTTTCAATAGATCTGTGTCCTATGAATGTCCACAATGTGGTAGAACTAATAGTGAAATATTATTACCACTCTCAGAAAAATCAGCCGATGCCCAAAAAGAAGCAAAAGAATTAGGCAATCAAATTAATCTTGTTAAAGTATGCAGTTTTTATTTTATTTTTGAACAAAGAACAACATGAATAAAATATCTTCTTCGTTATAGAAAGCTGAAACAAAAACTGAAGCATCTTCGGAGAAAACTGATGTTGAATTAAAACCATCATCATCATCATCATCAGAACCAATATTAGAAGCAAGACCAGATGTTTCGCCAACAAATCTGCCAAACACTGAAATACGGCCAGATGTTTCACCAACAAATATACCAAATTCTGAAATAAGACCATTAATAAATGTCTCATTACCACGTCAAAATGAATCAGATAATAATCTATTAAGCATGTTTATATTTCTTTGTTGTATGATACTCTCATTTCTACTTTTACGACGACTTTTTCTAACATTTGGCACAAATCGATCATTTCCGCCACCATCAACTGATCCATTTCATGATGATTTTTAAATAATGATTTATTTTATATTATGAACAAATTTATGTATACTTATAATCATGCAAAAGTTCAAGGGGGATTTTACTTATAAAAGTATTGATTATCAGCAATGGTTCTTTTTTTTCTGTTCTTTCTGTTTATATATATATACGCATCCTTATATACATTTTGTTTTTTTTCAGCTAGTTGCTCAGTTGTATAAAATGTTTTAAGTTTTTTAATTTAAATAGAAAAAAAAGTAAATAGAGAAGAACAAAAAAATTTTTATGTAAAAATATATATCTTGTGTGAAATTTTTATAATCTAGATTGATTTAATAAATCAAGCGAAAACTTTTAAAATATATGAAGATTTAAATGAGGGTTATGTTGTCGTTTATTAGATTTTCTGTTAGGGATAAGCTTTTATTGAAGCAAAATTTATCTGAAAATTAAAGTAGACATGCATATTTTATGGAAAATAGTATTGATTCAATAAAACTAGCAAGTATTATGACATTGAAGACTTTCAAAGTTGAATTAATCAGTATGATCATTTAAAAGCTTTCGAAAATCAAGATTCGGATAGCTAATGGCTTGCTATAAATTATACCAATCAAAATAATTGTAGGAAACCTTTTGTTACTATTAATTCGAACAGATTTTCTCTCAATTAACATCAAGATCAAATCTGAAAAGGTCTTAGTCTCGCACATTTTCTATTTGCCCTTGTAATAGAACAAATATTTTGTCTCGAGTAATATAATACATCAATGCAACAACTCATCTTGTTTTTAGGGTAAGATTTACACATTGATTCACGCAAAAAAATTATCATCTCATACATTTAATCGATATGTTATAATGATATTTGATGTATTACTTAAAAAAATATATTATTTTATATTCATGTGAAAGAAATGCTCGTTAGAAATGTTTTCATTCTATGACTTCTTTATTATTTCTGATTTTATGCTGTAGACTATTCGATTAGATTTGATTAATGAAAAATCATTTATAAAACTTCACATTTGATTTATTTATTAAAGAGCGAATAAATATTTTATTGAATTATTGAAGACAATTGCATATACAGCTTAATAATAGATGTGAACTTAGATTAGTAGGATTTCATCACATTATTTTTTTGTTCTACAAAAGAAATGAACGATAGTATTTTAGAAAAACATTAAATAAATAGAATAAAGACTATCAAACGAGAAAATAAAATAGCTATTTGTTTCCATCGGCTATCCTTGTTTTATAATAATAAAGCGTAATAGTATCCTATTTTCGATATTTTAGATGGCAATATAACCTTGGAAGTTTTATGTGATATGTCACATGCGCTTATCAGTGATTGATCTAAGATGACAAATTTGGAAAACAAACAAATTTCGCCTTGATAAACTATATATTACCTGCCAGTTATGGCTGACATTCCCTAGTCATATGTCATATAGAAAAACATAGATGAAAAGATACATATTCTACTGAGAAATCGATGTATAATTTTCTTGTTATTGCTTTGATGTCTATCATATATTGGGTTTAGTGTTAATTGAATAAATTACGTTAATAATGGTCAATTTTAAAAGATATACCAACGTAATAAACTAATGAGAATGCAATAAAAAATGATAATTAAACATCGACTGGTGTTGTATATTAAATTTAACTAATAATTATTGAATAGACAAAATATATTACAATATTTGTTGTCTATCTAATCTTGTAAATAAACAATTGATAGAATATATCCATAAATATTCAATATAAGATTTTATGATAAAAGTAATTTAATACGATATATATTTCTGTTACAGTTGAATGCATTTTAAGGCGTCATTAGGTATTTTTTGTGCATGACTAGTTATAAAGACGTAGAAGAAAATATAAAGTACGCACTTATTTATCGATAACACATATAATTGATCGAGGATTATTATCGTAATATATAATGAGTGACGAAGATTCAGCAGAAGAACAAATACCTGATCGAGTAAGTCTCTCGAGAAGAGCACCAGAAGCATCGATAACACCACCACAAACGTTAACAACACCACCACAAACATTAACAGCACCACCTCAAACGTCAGCAGTAAATACTAAGGATAATGCTAATGATATTCGTCGAAAAGAATTAATAGAACGTTTTTCACAATATTATGAAATTAATCCTAAATTGGCGAGTCGAATGCAAATTCTAGGAGATTATGATCTTGTTATATTATGTGATGATTCAGGTTCTATGAATACGCCTATTCATGGAACAACAACAAATCGTTGGGATGAATGTCGACAACTCGTACATGTTATAGTTGATGTTTATGCTGCATTTGATACAAATGGTGTTGATGTTTATTTTTTAAAGTAAAATACATCAGTTTAAACAAGAAAATAGTTTATATATATATGTGTATATTTATATATTAGCCGACAACCCATGTTGAAAGTTACTGATACAAAAAAAGTACATGAATTATTTGAAAAACCACCTAATGGTTTAACGCCAATGGTACCCGCCTTACGAGCAATACTTAAAGAAAAAAATATGGATAATACAGCTAATAGGAATGTTCTTATTTTGATCGTTACAGATGGGTAATGAAGAAAAAGGAAAAAAAATAGAAAACTATGAAATGTTGTTTTTTTCATTTTTATTACTTTAGTGTACCCACCGATCCAAAGGGTGAAGTAAATGTAGATGAACTAGAAAAGATAATGCGTACTGAAAGATCACCTACAACATATGTTACTTTTATTGCATGTACTGATGATTTAGAAGCACTTGAATATCTTAATAATTGGGATTGTACAATGGATCGTGTCGATGTTGTCGATGACTTTCGTTCCGAATTAGCTCAAGTTAGAGAAAAGCGAGGACCAAATACGAAATTTACTTACGGAGATTATCTTATCAAAGCACTTATTGGAAGTATTGATACAAAGTATGTCTATATTATAGTTAATTTCTAACCAATATTTGTTTTTTTCCTAGTAGTATGGATGCATTAGATGAATAAACTATAATGATAATTCATATTACACAAATATATAATTCAATTGTGTAAAGAGAAAATAAATATTAAATAAAAAATCTTATTTTATTGCTTATTATATTTGCTAAATCTGATTTACTAATTGACGCATTTTATCATGGGACTATTGTTACATTTTTTTTTGATAACATATATTCTATATACAACTAATTTTGTTTTTCTTGAAGAGAAACTCGGAGATCTCGTTAGTTAACTGATGTTGATATAGACAAATGGCGTAAGCATAAAAAACAACTTGAGTTAGTGATGACATTATATTAGCTGCGTTGATGTTGGATTAATTGTGTTGGTTAAACAGCAGGAAAGTGCGAAAAAAGAGAAAGACATACATTTAGAACTAAGAGAAAAAAATCAGTGGAGCAGATGGTGATTGAATTATAATGAATAGAACGTAACAAATAGCTGTAAGTTAGTTACAAAATTATTTTTGGGATCCCTGACAATTAAACTGACATATGTCAGTAGCCATTTGTCTTTAATCATTTTTACAGATAAAGATCAATTAGTATCATATGAAAATATTTGCAACAAGTAGTTTCCTTTTTCTTATTTTATTTTCTCAATTACTTGCTGTAAGTTAATAATTATATAATAGTACGAGAAAAAAACTTTTTTTTTAATTTAAATGATTAATCAAAACCCGGATATTTGCTCGAGTGTAAAATTTCTAGACTAACAATTTTTTTTTCTTTCTTTCATTTTCATCAAATGCTCCAGTATGTCATAATTTATAACTCATACTCTTTGATCGATCGACTGGAAAACAACAAGACTAAACTGAACAAGAATACCATAAAAAATAAATGCAATGGGATGCATATATCAATGCCAATTTCATATAATAAATATTAAAATAGATAATTAGACGTCGAACTGTCAGACATAGAAAAATTCAATTATGAGATATTGTCAAATTTAAGAATTAGAGGTTCGAAAAAAGTGGAGAGTTTTTTACTGCATCGTTTTGAATTAATTATTAATAATTTGTATAAGCTATTCACATATATCATTATTTTGTTTCTCTATAACTTTTTCTTTTTAATGGTTCATTATAAATGTTGTGTTATATGCATGTGTTTAAAGGCAGAAAGAAAGTTTTTTCTCTTTTTTTTTTTTACTATGTTAGCATTTGCTATTTCATTAGATGCATCGGCATTGTCGTTGCTGTTGTTGTCATTCGAATAACGAGACGAAGAAGAAGGAGGAGGAGAAGCAGAAGAAGCAGCAGCAGCAGAAGAAGAAGGAGAAGACGACGAAGATGATGATGAGGACGATGCAGAAGTTGAAGAAGAAGCAGAGAAAGAGAAGAAGAGCCACATAGTCAGCGACCTGTTTGATTATTTTGTCACGTCTCTTTCTTGGTGTTGTACGCTTTGGTGGCCTTACTGCCACCGAGAATGCCCGCGATGTCTCTTATTTTTCATAACAATATTAGTTGCTAATACTACTGTTGTTTCTACACTTCTATTCGATCCCTAACAACAGTTGCACACGCTTCAATTATTCATAGATCTTTTGTCACGATATAGACGCTTGAGTTTCCAACTTAACTTGGTAAGAAGCTACGTAGATAATCATCAATAATTATTTACTTTTAATGTCTATATATCTATATTTATATATATATGTCTATATATATATATATATGTGATACATGTTATACAACTAAAGAACGTCATTTCGTAGTTTGAAAGCTAGTTGAAAAATAATTTGTCAACATAGAATAATGTCTTTCCTTTCTTGTTGTACCCTTGAATAATGTCGACAAATGCATGCTCCTCTTTCATCATTGAGAACTCGCTACATTGTCAACGACGACAATAGGCAGTAGTATAGTATGTTAGTATAGTGCACTCGGTTTAATCTGACATGGTTAACTACTACAAAAAGTCTGTAGTTCATCGTCTTTTCTTGTTCTTCGATGCTTGCTTTGCTCTTATGACAACATCCACATGCAATAAGACACTCGTTTTGTGCACAAGAATATACTTGCACGATTTGTTCAGTCTCGTGCGCATTTAGCATCATTTTTGGCTAGGGAAAAATGACGAGAATATGAAAAGGAAATGATAGAGAGATGGAATAGGGCTGAATTACATGAACAGAGTTCTCTTCTTATGTGACTAAAATATGATCTACATGATGCATCGAATGTCTGTTGCATGTGCCATTCTCACATTCATCTACTCATCTCCGCCCTGTATTTACTGTTAAGAAAACATTTGTTAATAAACATCTACTGACTTTTCTAAAGACATAGATATTAGAATTTATTTAGAATTAATTTGCTTATAACACCTCTTTTCTAAATACAAATCTTTTCTTTTTTTTTCATCGCCTTTTCTGCTTTTTCTTTGTATTCAGAAATCGATCTTTCTCGGGTTTTTTTCTGTTTTTTCTTCGATAGTTAGTTGAGACAAATGAGACATTTTCCGGAGTCTCACCACCAAACCATCCATAATAATTCACGGTTTGTCTTCATCTTCAAAATGCAGTAACAGCCGCGCAACAATTAACATCCGCATGCCATACACATACACAGACACATATATATATATATATTTATATAAATATATATATATATATACATCTTTTTCTCTATACGCTATCTAGTAATATCATGTGCGACAAAACACATAGAAAACGATAGAAAAATTACGAAAAAAAGAAGTTTCTCTCTCTCTCTCTATTCTTCTCCGTTTTTTCCATAAGCAGTTGATCCAATCATCTAGTGATCCATTGTAAGATACATACAATGAAAAAAGACGAAAAAGAACTAGATGGTAGATAAGAAAATAACTAAACGAGTATCGATCTATTGTCGTCACATTGGTTGTCGAATTTCTAGGTTTATTATTATTGTTATTATTGCTGTTGTTCTTGTTAGTATTGAAGACAACAGCATGCTGCTTAGAGCTATACGCATCATCTACATATGTAGTTGGACAAACATACACATATAGATAGAAAACAAAAACAAAGCTAGAATAGTTAGACGATGAGAATAGGGAAGCTATAATATTAAGAATAATAATTCGAATATGGTGCATAGTATCGATGACACTTCTCGCCACTATATTATCGTTCTGATGAGATTTACATAAAAAATTATCAGAGTACATCGGAAAAAAAACTAGAATTGGAAGACCGAACAAGCGAGAGTTTTTAATTAAATTTTTTTTTCTTAAATACAAGTCTATTGAATGTGACCCGTTTACTTATTCTTCGCTTTCCATATAGTTATGTCACCGGAATCCGATTGTTAAGAATCTTTGACAAACGTTCAATTAGCCTACTTCTTCTTCTTCGCTCTTTTTTTTGTTGTTGTTAGAAAAACGACATGTCGATTTCTATATAGTATTTCCTAAATTAGTTGACGTAGAACCCATAAGACCAGCTTTCATATCATTAAATAGAGATCTATTGACTAGTTTTTCGACAGACAGCTACAGTCGATCGATCATTTACTATTTCATCGCTGTTCTTTTTGGCATCTTCAACACTGATAATATGTCATAAGATATAATTTATCTATACAAATGTATATGAAATATATATATTATATATATCGCTAACAGAAAAAAAATGTATAAACTTCCCTATCTATTTTTAGACAAATCTGTATATACTTGATTATTTTATTGAACCGTATATAATGCAGCAAGAGTCAACATCCGATTGTAAAACTAACAATTGTTATTTACCCTCATTGTTCTAAAGCAATTTTTTTCTGCCTGGATCTATAAACATATATATATATATTTACTAAAAATGACATCAATTACAACTCCATCTAAAGTTCTTATTGGTCATCCAACATTTAATCGATCAATTGAATCTCATGGAAGTGCTCATTCGGCTGATACAAATTATAATGGATGGCGAGGTGATGGAACAGTAGGTAATGAAGATATCGGTACTCAAACAGATGGAAGTGGTGGCGGTACTGGTGGTGGTGGAAGTATAACAAGTAGCGGAAGAATAATATTAAGTGATGCAAGACGAAAAAAAGAAGATACAATTGTAGATATTGGTCTTGAATCAATGAAATATAACGGAGGTAAATATTAATTTTCTAGATTTTTCTTTTCTATTAGTTTTTTAATATATTAATACAAAAGACAACCTAACAATTCTTATTTATAATAGAAAAGCTTTCAAAAAGATTGAATTTCATTCTCAAGGGATGGAAAGCAAGTTCTATTTCTAATATGTTGTCAGCGTTGTTTTTAGTCAATTAATTGTCAACGACATATCTAACTGAATTTCATTATCATTAGTGTAATATATATATATTTATATTTTGAGCTTTCCAAAAAAAGATAGAGACAGAGGGAGAGAGGGAGAGGAAGAAGAACGAAGAAGAGAGAATCGAAGAGGGAACAAGATAGCACAAAAAAATGGATAATTGATCGGCGTTCTTTGTCAGTTTTTCTCTTTCTTTTTTTTTCTTTTTTTTTCCTCCAACTACTTCTTATTTTTAGCTATTCCATTTCGCCAATTACAACGACCTGATCGTTTAACACGACAAGGTTCGCGTCAAAGCGAATGTGACGGTTCATTGCTCGGTGATTTCATGTCGAATACATCGCAACCACTCACATCAAATATTTCGTCTTCAAATGTTGATAAGAAACTACTCATTTCATCATCGATAAATGCAAATAATACAAATGATTTAACATCGATTGCTGTTAACGTTCCTTCTCAATCAATAAATTCTCATCATACAAATAATATAAATAATAATCCAGATGAAACATCATCTCGTCAAACACTCGTACATTCTCGTTCAGGTGAATCGAAACGTGTTGAACGAACATCACGTAAAGAATGTTATCGGTTGGGAAGACGAAAATTACTTTTTGAAAAACGTCGTAAAGCATCGGATTACGCTCTATTTTTTGCCATGATTGGCCTTTTATTAATGGTGCTTGAGCAAGAATTAACAATGGCTAAAGTTTATGACAAGGTAAAATAACTAACGATCTAAAGCAAAAATTCTTTTTCTCATGAGTAATGATCGAAGAGGAAAAAATGTTACGGAGAACGAGATGTATTGTATTGTATTTATTAAAGAGATTACAAAAGTGGTTCGTTAGTGAATACATTCAAGTATTCTTCTTAAGATCACTTGAATTCTTTTTCTCATCTTCATTGAAAATTATAGATAGAAATGAGAAAAATGTATTTATTCTCGCTCTCATTCTTCAATACATATAAATATATATTTCTACATCTGTTATTCATTTTCTGCACCTGAATTATCTTTCTCAGATGAAGAAGTTATATATATATATATACTTTTTCTTCTTCCTAATAATGGTTTTGCTCTACAGACATGACTTTCATGATTAAAAAGTTATAAAAAAAAAAGAAGAAAGATTTTTACATATGTTAATGTATATAATTCAAACTTAGATACTTTCATGATATATTATGTATGAAACATCCAAACAAAAATAGAAAAAAAATACTCATGTTTTATGACTGTGTTTTTTAGTCTTTCTTTTCCGGATTTTCTTTGACATGCTCACTGATTCGCACTTTTTTTCTTTACTCGTTTTTCTTTTGACAGTCAATGTCATACGCATTCATATGACAAACGTATCTCGTTAGAAGATTGAAGTGCATGTATCCATGTTGATGATGTCAAAATAAGAGAAAAGAAGATTTACTAATGATAAAATAGATAACAGTTATAATAAAAATTAATAAATATTCTCGATAAAATCAAAGAAATTGATATAACAAAAACAAAATGAAACAATTGATAATTTATATTTTTAGAACAACTGGTGCTCATTGCTTCTCAAATCATTTATAACTCTGTCCACATTGATCCTGCTTTCTATGATTGTTTTCTATCATGCACTTGAAGTTAAAGTAAAGAAAGAAATGAATATTTTCTTTTTCGGAATTGTATTCACGAATTATTTCTTATTTATATTTGATTAGTTATTCATGATTGACAATTGTCTGGATGATTGGAGAATTGCAATGACATGGCAACGTCTATTACAAATTGGTGCTGAAGTATCAAGTAAAAATTAAGTATTGTGAATAATTAAATCTATATTGAAATATTAGTTTGTGCAATTCATCCAATACCTGGTTCAATAGCATTTGATTGGACAACACATATGTCGAACAAAGCTGAGTATCATTCGCAAATAAAAACAGTTCGTGTTTATGTAGATATTTTACTTTCATTGCCCATGTTCTTTCGACTGTATTTAATATGTCGTGTTATGCTTTTACATAGCAAATTATTTACAGGTTTGTTTTATATCGTTTAAAAACGTTTATTTATTTATTTATTTATATATTAGATGCTTCATCAAGAAGTATTGGAGCTTTTAATCGTATTAAATTTAACACAAGATTTGTAGTTAAAACATTAATGACTATATGTCCTGGAACAGTTTTACTCGTTTTTATTCTTTCGCTTTTTATTATTGCTAGTTGGATATTAAGAGCATGCGAAAGGTAAAAATAGAAGTGATTTATTTCCATTATATATATAAATTTCTTTTATTTAGTAATCATGATCCAAAACATCATGGAAATCTTCTTAATTCAATGTGGTTAATTGCTGTGACATTTTTAGCTATTGGTTATGGAGATATTGTACCAAATACTTACTGTGGTCGAGCTATCTGTGTTGTATCTGGTTTAACGGTTCGTATTTCAAGGATAAGACATTCGTGTATATTGTAAAATTAATAGTTATATTAATCTCTTAACATACCAAGACAATTTTGAGGAAATCCTAAACAGATCTATGTATTTAATGTACGCTAAAATGAATAGACTAATTGGTAATATTCACAATCATTGAAACATATTAGAAATATAGAATATGGCTATACGTGCATCGCTAGAAAGTAGTAACAACTATTGTAAATCATAGAAAATTATCATTAATTAGATTAAAAATGAGCTGATGATTTTTACTAGTAGAAATCAATTTGTTGTTCCCTTGAAACATGTTGAATGACGAATCTCTCATATGAACATCATTCAATAATCAAATTTTGTCTTATTTACTAATCTCAATGGGAAAAAGAAAAAACTAAATTCATATCGACATACAATGACATTGATTATCTTCCTTAGAGAGAAAATTCAATTCAATTTTTTAATTACAACTATTTTGATGTTTTTAGGGAGTGTCATGTACAGCAACAATGGTTGCTGTTCTTGCACGGAAACTTGAATTAACACGTGCTGAAAAACATGTTCATAATTTTATGATGGATACACAATTAACAAAACGAGTATGTAGTAAAAACAATCATAAATAATTTCTCATAGAATTAAAAAATATAATTTATTTACAAAGTTAAAAAATGCAGCAGCAAATGTTTTACGTGAAACATGGTTAATTTATAAATATACAAAACTTGTTAAAATTGTCAATACATCAAAAGTACGAACACATCAGAGAAAGTTTCTTCAGGCAATTCATAGGTAAAAAAACGTTTTTGTTTTTAATTTTAAAGATCATATTAATGATTATTTATTATGTTTAGTCTTCGAAAAGTTAAATTAGATCAAAGAAAATTAACAGATAATGTTAATGCGGTATCAGATATTGCTCGAGTAAGAAAATATTTATTGGTTTGTTCTCGTTTTTTTAATAAATTACAATTCTTTTTAGCTTCAATCATCAGTTTATGATATTGTAACTCAAATGTTAACTAATCAAACAGTTCTTGAAACAAAATTTCATGATTTAGATTCAAGAGTTATGACTTTACAGGTAATATAATTATTTTATATAGAAGTGTAACAATTGAGAATAAATATAATATAGAAGGCTATTAAAAATGTTTTCTTTTTACACAATATTCATCAATACCTTTTCATTATTATTGTATACCATTGAGTGGGGCTGATTACTACAAGAACTTCTGTCTTTATCTATTTGGTATGAAATAATTACTTGTTTGTAATAACAGAAGCAGACGATCTGCAATTCTGAGCAGAGATGAAGTCTAGCTAGATTTGTCTGTAGTTGTATATATATATTGATTTTGACCTTAAGCTGAAGCGATTGTATTCATAAAAAATAACAGCTATTAAGACGTTCCACAGAAGGACATTAGCAATTAAATATCATATTTGATTTTCATAGAAATAATTGTATAAAAATACAAATCTAAGAATATCGTTTGATGCTTATTATTAACTGAAATAAATGAATTTTCAGAATAAGAAATATATTTCTAGAGATTTTAATTCATTTATACATATTCAATTGATATCTTTAATTTCAATTAATATGAGATAGATCTTTATTCATTCGAAATATCAATAAAATATATTATGTTTCTGTTTCAGTCACAAATTGAAAATCTACCTAATTTAATGGTTACAGCTGTTACTGAACAAAATAATCGTTTATGGGAGCGTTTAGAAACTCATGTTCAAACACAATTAAATGCAATTCGACCAGCGTTACCTACAATATCAGTGACTTGTCCTCCTCAACGACAGAATACTGTGTGATTAAATATCAATATAACATAGATTTGCAATTTTTCAAAAATGACAGCAAGAAACCTTTATTTATTATTCTCTTCGTTTTTTCTTGAAACATGGTGCTTTCTTGAGAAAATTCTATAACAGATTCATTTGTTTTGTTTCTTTTTGTTTTTTCAAAATTAAATTATTAATGAACATACAATCAACTGCTCAACATCCAAATAAAGAAAATAAAAAATTAACATACAGACATTAACAAATAAACGAACAAAAAAAACAATGAATTTTTATTTGAAATAATGCACTTACGTATTCTATAAGTACATAAAACAGTTAAATTTTTAACGTATAATTTATTTGTTTTCATTAATGTTGTTTGTTCTTATTAATTGATGTTGTTCTATTTTTGTATGATAAAAAATAAGATACGTGAAAGAAGTTCATAGAACACGCAAAATGTTATTTACGTTCTAGCGACGAAAAAATGCAATCTGATTAATATTCAGCCACAAAAAAACGAGCCTATTCCATTACAAACAGAACTTCTCAATGTCATTGTGCCATGTACTATATTAGCTCAAAGTACTGACTAGCACAACACTCAACATTCATGCAGTTTATTGTATATGGATCTAATTTTTGTAGTTTATTATCTTGGCGGCAAAAATTATAGAAATCTTTAAGTATACAAATGAAAAAGTTGTCATTTAAATGTAATGAGATTTAAGTTAACGATATTTTCACTAACTAGTGATTATGATTTATATCTTTAGAAACATTATTTATTGATTCTATAAGTGAAAGTATCTATTAGCCAAAAAAAAATGAAGTGCGCATAAGGATATAAGAGAGAAAATCTGTGTATACAATTGAGATCTAAGAAATATTTATTAATACAAAAGCCAATAGAACCAGATAAATAGGATTACCATTAGCAATTATAATAAAATGAAAAAAGTACAAGCAAAAAAACAAATATAAAAAATTAGAAATGTTTACTCTTTCTTTTTGTTTGATTTTATTCAATGTCAATACTACCATAGAAATATTTACTTAAAAGATCCAATATTGACAAAATAATAGATAAGTTGGCTATTCGTTCGATTAATTCAGTGACATGCTACACTCTGAATGTCATAGAATGCATTAACATACAAAATACACTCACTGTCAAATAAGATCTTCTGAAACTGACACTTTTTGTAAATATTTTATCATTACTGAAATACAAAACCATTCAAAATCTTTTGAAAATTTTTGATGTACATTATTATAATTCACAATACAATAAAATTAAACGAAATTGCCAATCTTGACAATGTACGGGTACAGAGTGAAGACGTTGATCACACACAATTGTTGATATTTTCCATACAATCTTCTTATGATATTTCTATTTTATTCTGTTGATCATTTTCTAAGATATTAGAAAAATATTTAGTTTTTCTGTTTACTAGTTTTACGTTTTGATCTCTTACGAGTCATGATTAAGAATTAGTTTTGCCTCGAACTAAACTATTCAATTATTCGACAATCTAGTAAAAATTTAATCTATATTAACTCATTTTGAACGGTTGTACGTATCTTATTTGTAGTAAAACACGTTGTATTTAGTTTTACAAGTACCTGATCTACTTACACTTGTAAATGTAAAACTAAATAATGAAAAAACGATAAATACATGCCATTCATGCGTATATCGATAACAGAAATCGATGAATAAGTCTGATATATATTGTCACAAAAGTATAAAAGAATATTATCTATGGGTATCCAGACGGAGAACTGACTACCTGTGTAAGCTTTCAAAAGAAGATTTTAAATGTGAGTGATAAATTTAAGTAAAATAGATTTTATTTTATTTAGAATATATTATTCTACAAAACATCTTTCTCTATAATTTGAAATAGATATAAACCTAAACTATGAGACTCGATGATTTTATCAAAACTTGCTAATTCATAGCAACGTCGAAAATAAAAATGTGATTATGTTGTCTTAAAACTCTGATAAATAACTTCCCCGTTTAAAGTTATTTATGGTAACTTCAAAACAACATCCAGAATTCAGTAACATGTTTTTCAAGAATAAAAATACAGTTCATTTGGCTAAAATAGAGTGGAAATTTTTAATATTTCCGCCATAGCCACAAATGAGCTTCATTAGTTCGAATATGTGAAATAAAAATAGAACTGTTTCCTTTAAGAACAAATTATCATCACGTTTTAAATCTATATGTGTGAAAAATAGAAACTTGTTTAACTAGCAGTGTATAAAACAAAATCGAAGTGAAATATATAAGCAATAACAGTTGTGTATTAATATTAAAAGAAATAAATATACTGACAATGGTTATCTAAATTTATCAAGAAAAGCAAGAAAAAAAAGTGCTACTACACATGTACATAATATCTCTTTTATTTCAGTCCAGTTAGATTATTTTCATTCTGTCACATGTGTAGAGGATATTACTTAGTCATATAAACAGTTTTCTTTACTGATGAATATATTAATAGTGATGGCTCATAAAAGAAAAGGCCACTCTGCTTTTGTTGAACTTCAAAAATTATAATAAGAACATCTTTAACATGGCTAGTTTAAACAACAAATAGTTCAAAACATATTGTGCTGAATAAATACAATACGGCCAATTGTACTAAAAAGCCGTTCGATCATACAGCCAACAACAAAATACAAGAAGATGGTTTAACCAAGTTACAGAACGTATAATTAAGGTAAATGGTCGGAAATCGGTACCGATTATATATATATAAAGGAATTGAACACGAATTACGAAAGTAACAACTAAGCTTACGGTTTATGACTTTCCTCATTCAACTATGTACTATGGATCAGCCATTCGATACAAGTCGCATAGATATTCTAGATATGTCAAAACAACAATATTAAGTTCTTGAAACATGTTTTATGTTCCAACAATTCAAAACTTAATCGACATCTAGACATAATGAAAAAGATCACGATATGATACATACCAAAAACAAGGATTCCTCTAACGATAGATAATATCATCTTTATAACACGAAGGAAGCAATGTGAAAATTTGGGGATATTTTACTTGCAGTGAACTTGAAGGTTTAATACTTTATCAACAATAATTTATCAAAACAGATATCAAAACAAATTGTTGTAATGTACCTGCTTTTGTATTTTGATCATTTTTTCAATAAAAATCGAACAGAATGAAAGTCTGCATTGAAGTTCTCCATACGTATACTGAGAACTATAGATAATAAAGTGATACAAATTCGACGAGATGCTAGAATTTTATCATAGAAATAAGGATGACATACGAGAAAGCTAGATCTACTTGTACACTAGTTCTGGTTCTTAGTGTATCATTAGTTCAGCTAATCGGACAAATTTATATATTGTTATTTGATTATATCAAAGTCATTGTAAGAAAAATATGAATTGCCAAAACTTTTACTTTGTATTTAGTGGTGAATAAATGAACACATTTTATATTATTTTTACTTAAATATGCTTTATCAGGTCATGTTTTCATTAATTTATATTCTTTTGAAATCTTGATAAAATATGATGGAGATATCCAACATTTGAAACATCAGATACTTGTTCAGTATAGTTAGATTTTACAACTGTGAGAATTCGTCAGAGTTACCGTATGCATGGGGTACTATAAATTTTAAATAGCCAGAATACAAATGTTAGTAAAAGCATAATTCAAGCATTCAAAATTAAAAGACATCTACTATCTTTCTTGATTTTTTTTCCTTTATTATTCTTTCCTTTTGTTATTATTTGTACGCTATTGTGTTGTCCGTTTACTATTGAATATGTCATTGTGAAAAACAATAGTTATCAATAAAGACAGTGATTAGTAATAAATGAAGGATACAAAAGATAGTTGAAGTGTTTGCTATTGTTGCTAATGAATTGAATATTCCATGAAAAGGGCTATATATTTTCTTTCTTTTAAGCAGAGAAAGGAACGTTTGAAAACTCTTTTGAACTCTGTTTAAAATTATGACATTATTCAAGGATACAAAGGTGAACATGTTATTAAATCCAATGCAAGAAGTACACTATGAAATTTTTATCATTGTGTTACACCATTATTTTTCCGAAGTGACAAGATACGATAGATGACGACGTATCAAAATATTGATTATTAATGCTGTTTTTTTCAGATGAATTGAAACAATTTAAAATTTTCTCATCTAATAAATTCAAAATGATAAGATTCACTTTAAAAAAATTTGTAATTCTGAAAATTTTCTTTTCCCGCTATTTATATTATTCATTACATAAAAATGTTACCCATTGTTATTAAAACATATCGACTAACTGGTTATTACTCAGTACTTAATTCTAATAAAACCAGATCATCAAAATCAAAATCAAACTTAAATTATATTTTACTCACGATCGAAGTAACTTTTATTACTTATATTGTATTTCATCTTAGTGTTACTAGATCATGAAAACTCTATTGTTTTGTTATCTTGCTGAATGAAATAAAGAATAGAAAAACGTTTAAAAAAAGAAGTCAAAGACACACAACTTTATGTTATAACAAAACAAACCGAACAAAATGAAGATATAGATGAAAGAGTTTGCCAGAGGGCAAAAACAAACGAAGGATGTGCACATCATCATCATCCTCAATACAACCAGAACAATAAACAAAAAAAAAAGAAAATGAGCAAAAGCCATCAATAACGGAAAAAAAAGAAGAAGAAGAAAGCACGCGCAATAATCACGTATTGTTTTCTTTTTTCGTTACGAAGAGAGAGAACAAAACCGGTGAATTATAACACAAACACATATAAAGACACACTCAACTGTCCGAATTTGTTGTTGAAGATAATGTTGAAACATCCGATACGGATTGTTGTAATTGATTGATCATCGGTTGAATAGTTGAAATTAAAGTATTATTCACATTTATTGGTGATGTTGAATCACTTGTAGGTGATGTTTGTTGATGATTATTGATCATTTTTTGTATATCAATATTTACAAGACGTTGCTAAACAAAAAAGATCTTAATATAAATGCATTATATTTATATTAATATTTACAAAATCAAAGCGTCTTGATAATTGAATAAATGGAGTATTATCATAATGATATCCAGTCACCATTGCTTTGAAACAAGACCCAAGAATAGTTGTTTTAACTAATTCAATTGATTCAGGCGTAAAATCTTCTTGATCTAAAGTAAAGTAAATATTTTATTTTTTTAGAATTTTATATTTCTTTATAAATAATGGACTGTAATGATTAATGATTAAATCATTCATTTCATCCTTTTGCAATAGCAAGGTACATTACGTATCAATGATCGGGAATAAAAGTGAATGTACCAAATGAGGTTCATTATAGAAACATTGCATCTGATTTCATTAACTCTGAATATTATTCTCTCTATTTTCTACTCTAATGTATTAGTCATACTGTACTTTTCTGAGTAGCTGTGCAATGCAATTAAGATAAGTAAAAATCAGTTCTCTACTGGTGAGTCATTGATAATAACAAATCATCATCAACAATTATTTAATAAATGTTTAAAATAAAAAATATATAATTATAGATTGCTCATAGTTTTTCGAAATTTTATATTTTGAAAGCACATTTATAGACTTAAATATTATCTTATTGGAAAAGACTAATAATTAGAAGATTATACAAAAAAAATTTGTTGATTGATGAGTTAACAATTTAACAGTAATATCTTCAACTATAAATCATGAATAAGTGTTATTACAAAACTAAACTTGATATAGCGTAGATTTGCATTGAGACTATATGTATACTAGAGCTTAGTTTTTTTCTCTAAAAGAAATTAAAGAATAGATAAATTTATCAGTAGTGAATCATCATTTTTCTTGAAATAAACTTCAAATTACTGTATTAAAAGGGCTTTATAGTTTTAAAACTATTGTTTTTATAATACTGCAAAAGCAAAAAAGTACATTTGCCCATTAATAATAAATGACAATGGAAATTTAAAAAAAAACAGATATCTATAAGGTTAGTCATCATGTCTAAATTCTATCTATCTCTTTTTCTTCATCATTGATCTGTACATTATTTTTTTAATATTTTCAATTAACAATACTTACTATCAGCTGGGACTACATTATCAAGATAAACTTCTACTGCTTGAAATGGAATAACCATAAAATCTTGTCTAAATAATTCAAGTACAAAAATATTTTTATTTTGTTATTGCGAATATAATATTTTACCTAAGAACACGTAGAGAACTTGCATGTACATAAAGATAACCTCCATAGTCAAGAAATTTGATCATAGTCATATCATCATTACTGTTATATACTGTGATTAATGCTCGAAACCAGCCGGCTTGTGTCGGTGCTGCACATATGACACCGGCTAAAGAATGAAACAAAGTACTTAAAATTATTTGAAAAAATAATTGTATATACGTTGAATAGGTCGAGGTAAAGGCGGCGTCATTTGAGTATGATGGTAGAAAACTGACATAGAATTATCAAGACGAGCAAGTTCAGCATATGATGGTTGTAGAATTTGTTGAACAAATATATGATTACATGAAACAACACTTGTAACAATAACTTCTGCAGGTATTCCATCAGGTAAATGAAGCTAAATAGAGAAATTAATTTTTTCATTTATTGATTTCAATTATATGTACTTGAGCAATTGATTGAGGAATAGATACACGTTCAGGTGGACGTTGCCGTAATACAATCTTTTTATTAATTGGTTTGAAAGCAACTTGAGGATAACGTGCTGGCGGAAAACGCTTAGCTATTAATTCAATTGCTTGTTCAACATCAACACGACGGCCTATATTGATATTTTTTATTGAAAAAAAAAATACATTTACTAAAGACGAAAATTTCTACAAACCATGTAGAGCAACAACTTGTTTTTCAAAAGAAACAGCATCATCACGTACAACTAAATCAACTTGAGTCATTTGTCGTATATAATCAACATGAACACCTTGTCGACCAATAAGACGACCACATAATTCAACAGGAAAATGGAATTCATAGATAATTATTTCTTGTTCTTTTGCCTCCTACAAAACATAATAGTCAGCTGTGTTTACATTCTCATATATATTTACTCAAATAATTTTGAAATTGTCAAAAGATATACAAATAGACTCAATCTCTCACGATTAAAGAAAACATATAACATCAAGGACATATAGTACATATATATATGTAGAGTATTTTTTTATATTTAGAAAATCAGTTAAATTTTGTTTTCATATATTATGAAAATAAAAATATTTAATGGATATGTAGCCTTAAGTCATGTTTGGTGTAGCAGACAGATATTATTGATCTAAGCAACCATAAACAAAAGAAATAACAATCTCATTCAGTTGAATGGTTTCATTAATTGTTCTGTTCAATAATTAATAAAAGAGAATATTCTCTTAACTAGAAGTAAGCTTTCTAATCAGTTTTTTTCTGTCTAGTACTTTACCTTATCAGTGAATGGCGTCGACGGAGTCTCAGCTGTTACTGCTGGGATATCGTTAATATTTAATGACAATTCAGTACTTTGTTCAGTATCATCATCATCATTGGATTGCTGTTGTTGTTGAGTAGTTTCAGAATCCATTTTTTTATCTATTGTTAATTTGTCTTTTTTTGTTGATGGTATTGCTGATACAGATGGTGGTGGTTTAATGATAACAGTAGGTTTCGAAATCGAATTTTGATTCTTCATCTACATTAAAGAGAAGAAACGAAAAGAAAAGAAAAGAAAAAAAAATCATTTTTTTTCTTATTCTACATATGAGTCATGATGCTAAAAAAAACTGAGGATTTCGTAATTCTCACGGCAACTTACTATGAAATACAATATAAACGGAAAAGTACTCACGGGGGACAAACGAACGAAAGAAGAAATCTCTCCTCACTATTGGCTCTAGAAATTCACCAATAAGAAATTTCTTGTCGAAATCAAATGCATTTGTAAGTTAAATTAACTATCATAAGGATATTCTCAAATCCTCAATAAAATGATTTGTTGATTCCGCTGAAGCTCATATTTTTACTTATATTTAATTGAACAAATAATATGATTCATAAGTAAATTGACGTGGTATTGTGTTTTCTTATAGATCGATAATCATTTCATTCCTTAGTCGTCTTTGCTTTTTTTATTACATGTTTATTTTTTATCCGAATTAACAATCAATTATTTTGAAAAAATGGCTGCATCCAATTTACAAAAACTCGTCGGAATGAGTATTCAAATAAAATAGTCTTTGATTTTCGATTAATCAATATATTATTTTCTTTAGAATTAATTTCCGAAATGTTAAGATGTGATTCTGTTCGACAAAAAGAAAAAAATGATTGGAAAGTTCTTGTTATGGATCGTTTAGCAACAAGAATTATATCGGCATCATGTAAAATGCATGATATTATGTCGGAAGGAATTACAAGTATGACAAATTTTCTAATTAATTAATTGAAATAAATTAATTTTCTTTTATTACAGTTGTTGAAGATATTATGAAGAAACGTGAACCGTTAGCAATGCTTGAAGCTGTCTATTTTATTCAGCCAAATGAAAAAGTAGTTTCTCTTCTATATAAAAATCGTTTTTTTCATTTTAAATTTATTTAGTCGATTAATGAACTAATAAACGATTTTGATAAAGCACATGCATTAGTACCTAAATATAAAGCTGCACATATATTTTTTACTGAAGGTTTGTATGAATTCAAATATTTTTTAGTTAGTCTTAAGAATTGTTTGAACAACATATTAAATAAATATCTATATAAATCTCTTAGGGTTTTGTTGTTCTACTGTTGATTTATCATCTATCAGAATATTTACATAGATGACAAATATTAAAATGATTTTTGACATTGATTCAATGTGTGTCATACATGATTGATCTATTGCTTTCATTCAATTGTCTTTTACATGAATGTAAATTAACAATAATTCGATTGAACATTAGTTTTATCTTAGGGAAATGTTAGTTTTTCTTATTCAGAAATGTTGATTTAATCTCTTGAGAATATTTTATTTAGGAAAAAAGAGGAAGTTCACCTTTTGATTTATTTCCCAAGAGTAAATTTTTCTATATAATTTTAGCATGTAATTCCGAATTATTTACACGATTAACTCAATCAAAATGTGCAAAACATATAAAAACATTACGTGAAGTTAATATCGCATTCTTACCGTATGAACGACAAGTAAGAAAGAATACTTTTTATTCACTTAATATTTTATATTATAATTAATGTTCAAAGGTATTTACACTTGATTCACCAGACACATTTTATATAGCATTTAATCCAACACCATCACCATATCGTGCTGCACATCTCGATGTTATTGCTGAACAAATAGCTACATTATGTGCAACACTTGGAGAATATCCAATTATTCGATATCGAGCGTAAATAATTTTATTCGATTTTCAAACAAATCGTTTAAACTGTTTTGTTTTATTAGAGAGAATGAAAAATTACTTGAATTTGCCAATGCAGTTCAACAAAAATTAAATCAATATAAAGCCGATGATTCAACTATGGGCGAGGTAAATTAATTGAAAGGAAAATATAAAACTTTTTTTATTGTTTTTATTTTATTTATAGAGCGCTGATAAAGCTAAATCAGTATTATTAATATTAGATCGTGGTTTTGATGCTGTATCACCATTACTTCATGAATTAACATTTCAAGCAATGGCATATGATGTCTTGAAAATTGATAATGATGTTTTCGAGTATGACGTTCAGACACCTGGTAGTGATCCAAAGAATAATTCAGGACAAAAACAAAAAGTTATATTAGATGAAAATGATGAGCTTTGGACTGAACTTCGTCATCAACATATAGCTACGGTTACAACGTTAGTTTTCTTTAAAATTCTTTTTATTGGATCATTTTCGGTATTTTTATTTTTAAGGAGTATTACAAAAAAAATCAAAGATTTTGCAACACAAAATCGTGTTAAAGATTCTGATCAAAAAGAACGTACTACAATGAAAGATCTTTCGTATGTTTTTCTTTTTTCCTAAGTAAAAACATATCTGATAGTTTTTTGTTTAAAATAGATTGATGATTAAAAAAATGCCGCAATATCAAAAAGAACTAAACGCTTATGCACTTCATTTTATAATTGCTGAACAATGTATGAATGCATATAATCGTGAATCCGGAGAAAAATTATGTTCGGTTGAACAGGTAATTTAAAAAAGATATTTTATGATTAGCGGAATAAATTCATAGTAAAACATCATTTTTCTATATTACAAAAATGTTTTTAATGAAAGAACTAAATTTATCATTAGTTAACCTTGAACTATTTTAATTATTCAAAAAGCACTCATTTTCATGTATTAAATTTGAATCGTCTTACTTCATATAACATGTAAAATTAAAAAAGAAGTCTATCTCATTTTTTTTATTATTTATTTTAGAATTTAGCAATAGGTACGGATGCAGAAGGTGAACGCATCAAAGATCATATGCGTAATATTGTACCATTATTACTTGATAATGCTATTGCTATTGAAGATAAATTACGTATTATAATGTTATATATTCTTCATAAAAATGGTAATTTTCACTAAAAAATATAAAGAGAAAGAAGTTATTATTTAAAAATTTTCAGCTTATTGTTCTACAGCACCTGAAACATACGGTATAATAAACCTAAGTCAATTTTTTCGCTAATATTTTGTTTTTCACAACTAATTTTTACTGATTGGGACTGGATTTTAATTCTTTTATAATTGCAATATATTTGATTAAAAACTAAAATAACTTTTATATTTAGGGATTACGGAAGAGAATTTAGACAAATTATTAAGTCATGCAATAATTCCTACCGACAAGAAAAATATAATATCAAATATGCAATATTTAAATTTACAAATTATACAAGATCCAAATCGAGTATGTCATTGATTTTAATATTTAGTTATCTAACGAAAATATCCAGCATGGGAGTAGACTCTAACCAGATTTAAGCAGAGAAAATGCTTTGCATGTGGCTTCGGAATTATTTATAAAATCAACTGGGGTGATTTTTTAGTTTGAATATTTTCCTTTTTTCTTGTAAGATCTATATATTTTTCTATGATTTTTAATTTTTACTCTTCTTCATTTAATACTCCTGTGTGATTTCTCCTTTTTCTAAATCTTTATTTATATATGTTCGTGAGCATAAGTGATGCCGAGAAGAACTAAAAAAGAGAAATAGATTGATGATTTCATCTATAATTATGATTGATTATTGATAAAAATAGACTGGATGATCATATTTATATACCTTGCTATTTTAGGCTGGACGACGAAAAAATATTCCACAAACAAGAAAAGAACGTCCAGAACAAGTGTTTACAAATTCCAGATGGACACCTTATGTAAAAGATATAATGGAGGTAAAATATATTAACTTTTAAATATTAGACTGTTTTTGTGTACTCAAAAAGTGAGTACAGTACTAGAATCGGTCAGTATATCCGGCCGTTTAAACGATAGCTTTCGATAGGGGAGGCAGATTTTGATGAAACTTTCTACACAATTCAGTCTCGGTCAAGTTCAAAGATGAGCCTAATTGGCCGGGCCATTCCTGAGTTATTGCAAATATACTGTTATTTCTCTATGATATCCATATACACTTTTTGCAGTACACATAACTCTCGGATAAAATTCGAAGCTTCCACATTTATTTTAATGTATATTTTAATTTAAAGGATGTTATTGATGATAAACTTGATTCAAGACAATTTCCTACGATTGGCGGCGGACAAAGAGCTCCTACAGCTGCCTATTCTGCTACAAGGTATTCATAAAAGAATTGATTTTACAGAGGATTTTTTTTAATAATCATTTTTATTTTAGTTCTCGAGGATTTGGTGGTTGGATGAATAATAAAAAAGGGCCAACTTATTCTGGTCCACGTTTAATTGTATTTATACTTGGTGGTGTTGCTTACAATGAACTTCGTTGTGCTTATGAAGTAACACAAAGTAATTTAAAGAAATGGGAAGTATTTATCGGTATGTAGAAAAAAATTTAAAACTCAATTTTAATGATATTGTTTTTAATAATTTAGGCAGTGATCATATAACAACTCCGAAACAATTTCTTCGTGATCTTGAAATGAAATTAAGACAAGAGGATGAACAATAGATATGTGCAAATCATCAGATTTCCAAGGTGTTTTTTTTCTAAATTCCAATTAAACGAGAAAATGACAATTTATATTTTATATTCATTCATTCTTATTTTGTCGACTTATAATCATTGCAGAATGCTTTGGGTTTTATTTTTCTTGAATATGTACTGATTCTTTTTTTTTGTTTGTTTTATTTATCTATATAGTTTGTTCAGCCCAAATCATTCACCACTCATATACATTCATATATATATATATATCCACAAATTTTATTTTTGTTCATTGATTCAAATAATCTTGATGTTGTAGCTTGCGATTATATATTTACGAACAGTCTTCTTCTTTCGTTTTTTTTGTATTCCGAAATTTTAAACAAAACAACTTTTTATTTTCTTAATTCGATGTTCTAATTATCCAAAGAACAAATTTTTGTTTGCGTACCTATTTGTCTTTATTTATTTATTATGCATCTTGATATATTTTCCTTTTGCTTGTATGTGGCAAATATACATATATATATGTGTTATATAAAATGAAAAATAATAGAAAGAAATGATTAGCTAAGAGTATTCATTTTGTTTTGTTTTTCCAGATGTTCAAGTTATTTTCAACAATTAGATTGATTAATACAAATGTCTTGTCATCATCCAAAAGATTATTTCATTTGACGCAAGTCGTAGGATTAAAAAAAAGTAATGAAATACAATTAATCATCTCATACTGTATATAGACTAGAGAATAAAACCGGAATCAGTAATAAAGAAAATTTTACACAATCAAAATCTATTCAATAGAAGATAGAACTATGAAACTTCTAGGTTCTTCTTTGAATTGTACAAATGACAGAATATTAAAGCAGAGACAGGATACTTAGTAAAATACTTGGTACTTTCTGTGCTTTGTACTTAAAAACCTCAGTACAAGTAAATGTACTAGTACTTAGAAATTGTTACCTGAGTACTAGTTTACTTAAGTACAGTACTATCAGTACAAAATGTACTTCAACATTTCCTTAAAAATAAGTATTTTTATGCTGACGCTATTGTTTTATATCTAAGTGTTATTTAAGATTATATTAACATCGAATTATGCTCGAGAATAAAAGTACTTAGCATGCGTACTTAACGCACTGTACTTAAGTACAATTGTACTTGTACTCGTCCAGGCTCTGATATCAAGTTTTTGCACAATAGAGGAACACTCATTTTAACAGAAGACAACATATACAATTTAGATTTAGTCTAAACTATTACCAAAATAGACGCCTTTTATCATGAATTATAATTCTATTATCAAAGAAAATTGATAATTGATTTAATTTTGTATAATATTATGATATGAAATGCAAGTCTAAAGTTTTTTTTCGTTATTTCTTTTTAGTTACGGAAAAAGTTGAAGGCAATGTGATAACAGTAAGTTTGAATAAAATCATATTGGTTATTTAATATTTTCTCTTTAGTACGAAGGAGAATATATTAATGATAATGATAAGAATATTTTAAAACTATCTGGACCAGTAGAAGTTTGTAATTGGTGTAAACTTGATCGTCGATCTGTTCATATTCAACATACAGTATGAAAATAAAATTAATAATGAAATAATTTTGATGAAATGTTTTTTTTTTAAAGGATATTCTTGTACTTCGTCAATATATTCGAAAAGATGGTACAATCCTTCCTCCTGAAATAACTGGTTTATGTCCAAAACAAAATGATAAATTACATACATTAATAAGACAAGCACGAATGACTGGTTTAATATCATATCCAACTGTCGCTGTTACTAAACGTGAACCACTTTTAGTTGATCCAACTTTAAGACCTGAATTTGAACAATATAATTCATATTGGGAAAAATATGAAGTATTAAAAAAGAAAGATCATTATTTAGGACCATAGATTGTGTTTTTGTTTTAAATAAAAGATAGTTATATTTACAAAGTTTTTTCTTCTTCTTCTGATTGTGTTTAATGAATTCATTGTTTTTAGTATAAAACAAAATGTCATCTGCTTGGATCGATTTATTAAATTTAAAAAAACCATTGAAATTCAATGAATTTTTAGTTAATTTTAATACTGAGTTGTATAATGCTAAACCATTACCAAATGATATTCAGAAGCAGTTAGATGAGAGATGGAATCAATTACTTAGTGTCGTTAAACCAGGACGTGTTTTATACAATGAATCGAAATTTCGTTTACATTCTATTGATAAAAAAATGAATGATGATGATAATTCATTTCATTTTGTTCTTAATCTGGGTTTAACTGATTATAAATCATTTATTTGTACTCAACAACAAAGTTTACCTACTGAAATTCGTCAACATATAACAGAAGATCATTTATCACATCCTCTTGGTGTTGGATCTATTCTGATAACATCCGATGATTTTATTGTTTTAATCAAACGAAATTCTAATTGCGTTGATTCACCAAATCTCTATGATATACCTGGTGGTCATGCTGAACCAAAGTAAAAATAAATTTTATAAAAAACTGTTTATTTTCTTTTTTTCTAGAAATTTAAAATCATATTCACAAGAAGATATTATTGAAGAAATTCATTCATCAACTATTGCTGAGTGTGTTGATGAAACAAATGTTGACCGAAATAGTCTTCTTGTTGATTCATCTTTTTATGTTCTTGCTATTACTCGAAATTTGAATCAATATGGTCGACCCTCTGTTGAATCTTGTCTTCGGTAGGGATATATTTCATTGACTTAATTTTTTCCACAAGAAACTCATAAGACATATATATTTTCTTCTAGAACATCAATGACATCACAAGAATTACAACAACGTTATAATCTTCAGACACAAAGCGAAGCATTTGAATCTACTGAACTTAAATTTTGGCCTCTTAATAAAATCTCTGATCTTTTAAATCCTTCTTCAACAATCATTTCAATTACACCTGCTTGTCATGCTACTTTAACTACATATTCTCGTTTATTTTTTTAGATGTATCATTTAAGCACACAATATAATAAATGGTTATTTACTGTCGAACAATTAAAAGAATTACGTACAAAAGCGAATGGTGATTATATTCAAAAACAAGTAAGAAGACAAATAATGTATATAACTATTAATTCTTTATTTTAAAACTAGAAATCTAAAGATTGTTTAACGGTTGATGAAGAAGCTATGGTCTTACGTTATTATGAATTACAATTAAAAGATTTTTGTGAAAAATTTGAACCACCAATGACTAAAATGGCTATTGTATATTTGATAATTTCTGTTTAGAAAAAAAACTTTTTTTTGTTTTTATAGGCTGTTTGTATGCAATATTTTAAACGATTCTATTTAAATAATTCTGTTATGGATTATCATCCACGAGATATATAGTAAAGAATTTATTTTTGAAAGAAAATTTTCATTTCTTTTTTTTCCATTTAGTTTAATATGTGTGTATTTAACATGTAAAACAGAAGAATTAAGAATATCTATAATCGATTTCCTTGGAAATATTAAAAATAGTACGAATATTGATCAAACAGCTGATATTGTTTTATCATATGAATTATTACTTATTGAAAAACTTGATTTTCAACTTGTTATCCATACTGCACATAGACCATTCGAAGGGCTTATTATTGATTTAAAGGTACAATTTGATGATTTTATCATTATTTACCAAAAATTTGTCTCTGTATAATTCAATTCTTTTTCTTCTACATCTAGACTCATTATTTACGTGATAATGTCAATGATGCCGATCGATTACGTTTAACTGGTTATGAATTTCTTGATAAAACTCTAATAACAGATGTTTATTTTCTTTTTCCACCATCACAGGTAAAATATAAATTTTTAAATACAAACCCACAACAAATCGAATCTTCATTTTTATCTAGATTGCTCTTACGGCATTAGTATTTGCTTCAGTTAAAGCAGCAGTTAATATTGATGAATATATTCTTAAACATGTCTATGGTTCTTTAGAATCAATTCAAATGCAAAAAATAAAAGAAACAATCAAATGTAAATAAAATAGCTCTATTCTTATCTTACTTAGATGAACGGAAAGACAAGAATGTTTTGTTTTTATTCGTTTAGTAATTGCAAATGTTGTTAATACATCAACGAAATTTAAAAAAAGTGAAGTTAAACAAATATTGGAAAAATTAGAGAAATGTTATAATATAAATAATGATCCACGTTCAGATGAATATAAAAAGAAACGTCTCGAACAATTTCAAACAATAACTGATTATGAAGCGAGAAATTTGGTAAATAATTTTATTGATTTATTCTTTAACTAGATTTTTCTTTTCTTTTTAGCCTTAATGTTATTCATTGTATTTATTAAATAAAGGAAAAAAATGTTATCTTATCTTATTTTCATAATTAATAAAGAGTTTTACAAACATCTCAGACAAATTTTATTATCAAGAAATAACATTATTCGATATGATTGTTTCTATTCTAAACATAACAAGATTTGAATACTACATCGAATAAACCGATGTCGATGTCTTCCGATTGATACTGTATTTATACTTGAGTATTAACAGTGGAATCGAAAGTAATCTATAAAATAAAAAGAAGAATATTTTCAAATAAAAACCATGTAAATAATATTTATTTTTTTACAACAATACGAACACAAAGACAGCTGAATTATATTGAAAAAAGAAAATACATTTCGTTGTAAATAAATAAAATTTTCCCCTATAAAAAAAGCAAACAAACATTCACATATGCAAAATAAAGCAAAATAAATGAAAACAAAAGAAGAAAAAAAAATATTGTTTTATTTTCACTTCAATGAATAAGCATTATTCTTAACATTAAAGTTATATCACACATGAAAAAAATATATATATTTTACGCATGATAATTGTCAGATGGTGGTTCACCAACGATTTGTTGTAATTCATCTTGTATTGATGATATTAAATTTTTTGTATTCACAACACTTTGTTTAGCAATTAGATATTCATCATGAAAGTCATTACGTTTTGGTGCATCATTATTTAAATCTGATGGTTTTAATTGAAATGCATTGTTATTATCTTCTTCACTTGTTGACCATGCATTTTGTACTAGTAGACGTGGTCCATCTCGTTGTTTTGGTATGGTATCAATATAAACTTCATTTTCATTGAATCTATGTTGACGTTGTAGATTATGACGCATACGAGTTTGATGATTTTGAACAGTATATACATCAGGTGATATGACATTTCCAGCAGTTAATCTTGAATCATCATAAAATAAAGGTGGATTTGATCGATAAGATGATTGACCATAACGTTGTCTGATATCAGTATCATCAGACGTATATTTAGGTTTTAATGCAACAGGTGCATAACGTTCAATTTCATAAGCACGATCACCTGCTTCATATGGACTATAATGATGACGTAAAAGAGATGGATCAGGACGTTCCGATAATTCAGGTATGACAGGTATATGATGACCATGTAGATTACCAGGACCTATCGAAGAATTTCTTGGATCGTAGGTAGTCGAATGAACACGACGTCGTTGACGACGATTTTTTCGTCTTTCAGTTTCCGAATCAGGATTATATGGTGGAATCGGTTGAATTGGTTCAGTTTTATCAAGTACTTCATCTAATAGACGATGTAATTGATTTCGTCCTTCTTCAATTTCTGAAGCTAAAGGTCTACGACGTGCAGCTAATGTTTGTCCATACATATTCATTTCATTAACTGGTTGAATAAACATATTTGAAACGTTCGCTTCGAATGCTCGAGTATCATGTTGTAATGGCATAGAACGATTTGTATCTAAAGAAAAAAATAAGTTTAACATTTTGTCTCATTTCTATTAATAAAACAAATGATTTTTACTTACTAGGTGGTGTTATTTTGTTTTCCATTGATGAATTATGAAGTCGATCAAGATCAGTTATTGGATCTGCATAACGTTCCTAAAACAAAAATTAATTTTTTTTTATTCGATTATCTCTATGAAAACAAATGTATATAAATTACTTCAAATTTTTCTTGTAAACGAAGTTTATTTCTCCAACGTTCAACATCATTTTGACGACGTATTTCTTGCATAGGTATTTCAACTGATGCCGGATATTGTGGTTGATTATTTAAAGGTTTTTGTAATTCTATAGGTGTAAAATGTTGAGCTGATGCTGTATTACTGGTGTGAACATCATTTTGAGTTAATACACGAAAATTATTTGCAGGTGTAGCTTGATCTCTCTTTTTGTCAGCTGGAATAGTTTGATAATCCTATTCAAAAAACAGATTATTCTTTTATTTTTATTCTATAAAATAATTTACCTGTACTCGAGACATTCTAGGAGCATTGTAGACAGCCTAGAAAAATCAAATAAGATGCGTTTGAACAAAACAGACTATTAAATTAATTTTATGAATGTACCTGAGCGGTGCTTGGATTATTTCCTCTTGGTCGACATTTAAAATAAAGAAAGCAACATATACCAATAAGTAATAAAACAAATGCTATCGGTCCAAGAACAGCACCAATAATCCATAATTTAGAATCAGGTGCTGAAACTGCAGGCTCCGTTGTGATAGATGAACTCTGGACCAAATCACCATCAACTGTATAACCCAATAAAGCAACTTTTTGATCCGTTGGTACTTTGTCGGTAGCTTCTTTGACTTGAGTCGCTGATATTAGTCCGGCTGTACATAGATCACTTACAGTATAATTTACTCTATATAATTGTGGATTAACACCATTATTTGATATCTGTATTAATATGAAAAGTAAATTCAGTATAACAATTCAATACAGTACTATCTTTGTTAACTTACCAGTGTTATCGGTGGAATAATATTAACACTATAAGCTGGACATGCTTGACGTCTTCGTCGTGATGATATACATTGTGGATTGGATGAATCATTCAAACAACTAAAGCCAACTGTAATAACCTTAACTAAACCTTGTTGAATTGCTGCTACGTGAGTACTGTTATTTGGGTTGAAGACTGCTGGAGAAAATACTTTGAATACTAAAATGAAAAGTTAATATTAGTTAGCTAAAATATTTATAAATAAGTGTTAAAAACAAGACCTGTAAATATTGAATACGTTTGAGAAGGTGTTGTTGTCGTCAGTGAACTAGTTGCAGATACGGTAACACTTGCACTAGACAATATTGACGAAGTAACAACGGTTGCGCTTGTTGTGTTCGTTATACTAGTAGTAATCAATGTAGATGCAGCTGTTTGAGTTGTTGTTACTGAAGCTGCTACAGTTGAACTACTCGTACTTAATATCGTCGTTGTTTGACTTGCTATTGTTGATGTAGCAACTGAACTAGTTATTGAGGATTCCGTACTACTAACAACACTAGACGTTG